ATAATACTCATATATTTGTTTAACAATATTTAGAAATAAAACAATTCTATATAATTATCATTATAATATATATATATATATATATATATATATATTTGCAATTACTTAGTTGCCAACCCAATATTAATTATTATATTATAATTATATTTATAAACTATAATATATTATATATTATATTATGTATATAATAATTTATTGTATATTTATTTTAATAAATAATATTTATTTATTTTCAAACCCGTAAACACGAATATATTTTATTTAAAACTAAACAATATTATAACGATATATTTTTTTATATTTTTTTTCCTTTTTTGCAAAAATTATTTGATTCAATCAACGAACATCCATCAGTTTTGTACAATTCAAAATTTGATAGTAATATGAAAAATCAATTTCGTTCACTATCAAAATCAGACGAGTTTCAAGTCGACAGAAAAATCTCTCTTCCTCTGTATAGACTTTAGAAAAATAAGAAAATAAAATAAATAAATAAATAAATAAATAAAAAAAAAATAAAAGTGCAATATGTATTTTTGTACGAATGCATTCGGATGTTCTATAAAACTCGTTACCACGCGTTCCAAGTAAAACGAGAGAGTAAGGTAGTATGCAGTAAAAAAGGGTAAAGGGAGGAAAATAAGAGAGGAAAGGGAAAGGTAAAGGTAAAGGTTTGGTTGTAGAGGGTCGAAGAAGGAAATCGTGAGGATTTTCTAAGAAGAAACTCGAAGAAGGATGACGGATGGAGGGCAGGAAGCGACACAGGAACCGGAACCCATTACTTCAGATAACAACTTCCCTGAGGCTTCCTTTCCTTTCCTTTCCTTTCCTTTCCTTTCCTTTCCTTTCCTTTCCTTTCCTTTCCTTTCCTTCTACAAGTCTACCCTCTAAACCCAATATACGTTTGCACGTATATTTCCACATATATATACACACACACATACATATACATATAGAAATGGAAAGAGGGAGAGAGAGAGAGAGATAGTAGCAAGCAGAGGGTTACACTCAGCAAAGCGAATCCGGAAATTTAACGCTCCTCTTGCCATTTTGCTGGCTCTCGTGCAACTGGTGGCCTCACGATACCGTCGGACCATCCAAACGCGAGTACACAATTTTAGGATAAGCCAGTGAAAAGCTCTGACAAACGTATATATATATAACGACCTATTAGTGTATAAAATATATATACTTATGTGTGGTGTGTATATTTGTCTATTTATCGAACAATTGTTAGTATTCTACAATAATTGAGATTAAACTTGATACAAATTGATTAAAACACGAAGAATATTATAAAACACCGTAAAAAAAGGATTACTGTATAAACCTATATTATAACTGTAAATTATCTCTAAGATACTTTGTATATATTCCTCATGTGTCATGAACATAATTGTCAAATGAATGATTTATAAGTGTTAAACGTTGATTTATTTGAAAGATCAACAACAACTACACCCATAATTGTGTGTTCATCTTGATAAATGTTAAATTATCGAATATTTTGAATGAATGAATCGTTAACAGATAAGAGAGAGAAGGAACAGGTTGTGATCCTTTAACAGGAATGTTGAAATTAATGGAAATGGGCATCGAAACGATGAATAGGAACGAAGATAACGTGAGGACTCCTATGCCAGTACAAAACACCACCACCACCACTACCAACAGTAGCAGCAGCAACCCTGTGTGACGACCTCATCCTAAATGGACTTCGAGCGGGTTGCCCAACTGTTGCGCCTTCATCAGAAATTTATGCAGAATCCTCGGTTAACCGTCCCGGCCAATCAGCTTTGTAACAGAGCTAACGTCGTACCGACAAGAGGGAACGAAGATACTTCTCGAAACACGCCACCACCACCATCGCCACCATTAACCACCACCATTACTGATTTAGTAAAAAAGGAGACCTTAAATATTTCATTGAGTCTTTTATACGTGTTTCTATCTAACTGTTCATTTTGGTGTGTATATGTATGTGTGTGTGAGTGTGTGTGTAAATGTGGGGCGGGGGTTCCTTTTTTTCTTTTACTTCTACAACTTCAACTTCAACTTCAACTTCTTCGCTTTATTCTTTCTAAACTCGACTATGTCCAACGTTAACTCGATTAAATGCCGAAAGTTACGAAACAACTTGTCCTTAAATTTTCGTCAAGATAACGAAATACTACTACGAAGTGTTTAAATATTACCTCGAGTTCAAAGTGAATATCAACAAAAAAAAAAAAAAAAAGGAAAGAACAGAAAAAGGGATTTTTATTTTATTTCCTTTCTTTTCACTCAATTTCTACTCACCGACCAATGCCAGGATAACCGTTAAAAGGGATGCAGCTGGAAACGACACTGGCATGTTGAATTCCAACATTTGTAAGAGATCCACTGTAACAGAATAAAAACAGATTGTATTGATTAATAATAAGCTCTTTCTTTCTTTCTTTTTTTTTTTAATGGATTAATAAGAAAAGTTTTAATAGCACGTTGAATCTAAATAAAATTCATTTGTTTCTAAAAAAAAATAAAAACAAAAATACAATATTGGGATCTCTAGCACTTGAATACGCTATCTAGTGGCTAAATTCAAAATTAAAGTAGATAGGTCGAATTGCTACGCCACACCCCTCCCTGCCAGAGATCCCAATACCGAATTACTTCGAATTTGGATTAATTATATATATATTTATAATATATTTATTTATATTATTATATTATAAATTACTATAATATCTAATATAATATATTATATTACATTAATACACACAATACATTATTATAATTTAATTAATATATTATAAATTATAATATATAATAAAATATACAAATTAAATATATATATATATATATAAATACAAATTCGTAATTTACTTAACAAATATCACCCACCCATTTCTTGTTGAAATTCACGAATTCACGATATTGTACAAATGTGATAAATAAATAAATATAAATACGTAAAAGAAAATTAATGAAAGATAATCAAAATAAAAAGAAAAAAAAACTACACCCGCCCCCCCCCACGAAAAAAAAACAAAAAATAAAGTAAAAAAGATAACAAGATAATCATAGAATAAATGTATACTAGATTAATATGATATCGTTGAAATACATAGGACACACGATACTTCAATGAAACATAATATCATCGATACCCTCTACAAGCCCGTAAATCTATATATATATATATATCTATGAATTTAATATTTATTAGATTTCCGGGGAGGATCTTCTTTCTCGCTTGGCAGGAGGTTATTATGAAAGTGGAACATTCTGAAGGCATCGAGGTCGAAACGTTCGAGGAAGAAGCAAAGCATGGGAGAAAAGGACGGACGACACTTCGAAACTCGATAAAAATTAATTTTAAAACTTTGTCAATCTTGATTTAAATTCTCTCGAAGTTTTGTCCTCCTACCTCTCTCACTCACTCACTCAACTTCCCCCTGCCTACACCCCCCCGCTCACCCTCGTACCTACCTGTTATATAAAAACCGTACTCGCGATAAAACCAAAATCCTTACTGAAGTAATTCTAGACGAACTAATACGTATTTCTATCTCTATCACGCTCTCTCACCCTCTCACCCTCTCACCCTCTCTCTCTCTCTCTCTATCTTTCTTTGATCATCGGATACACCGTGTTAAAAATGCACGAACGATCAAAAAAAAAAAAAGAAGAAAAAAAAAGAAGGATATTAAAAAATTGCAAGTAAATACGAAATGAGGGAGTTGATGGGGGTGGGGGGTTGTTGGTCTCGCACCTAGTTCCTAGATTATTTTTTTTTTTCTAATAAATTACATTTTTTTTATACTCTCTCTCTCTCTCTCTCTCTCTCTCTAGCGTATAATCTTTCGGAAGAGACTAAACCTTGTGTCAATCTAAAAAAAAAAAACAACAACAACAAAATAATTTATATCATCGTGAAAAAAATAATGGTTGATTTTTTTCTTTTTTCAAATTATCTTAAAAAGAAAAACTTTGAACTTATCTATTTGAACGAGTACAACAAAATGATGAAAAAAAAAAACAATATTTCGATTAATGTTTATAAACTAATGCATAAATTTCTCTTGTTACTGTTTTTTTTTCTTTTTTTTTTTTTATTCTCTCTCACTCTCTCAAACGCACACATACTTTTCTCTTTTATTTCCATGACACCGTCGTGTCGTGTCCCTGGTGTCTTTTTTTTTTTTACGATACGACCAAAGTGATGGGTGTAGTAGTGTTGTGTGCATCGTTGGTTACAAATTTTCTCGACCAACAGACACACACACACACACAACATACACAGTTCTAGAGATTCAATGAATTTTAGATTTTAAGTTATCGCCAACTAACTGCCGTTCCCCAGTTGGTTATTAAAAACTCCATGGCGTCTTACTTCGCGTACCAACCAACCAACCAACCCACACCCCCCCCCCTACCTACTACTACTACCCCTGACTCCTACTTATACCATAGTTTTTTCCACGTACAAACCACACCACTGTCTCCTTTACCGCATACTAACATCTTTTTTCTTTTTCTTTTTCTTCTTCTTTGCTTACCCCCTCCCCAACCACCATCAAAGCAATACACGTGCATCCTCGTTGGTTGTTTCTAAACCCCCCCATCTTTACGTTGTTCTCCTTACCTACCATGAGAAAGATAATTCGAAAATAGTATTTTTCCAGTAGAAAATCAAAACAAACGTGCTAAAAATAATATGAAGAAATAAATCAAATAAAAGAAAGAAAGAAAGTGTATTAAATTAAAAGATATTTGATACACTCGAGTGTGCATAAAAAAAAAAAAAAAAAACAAACTTCGATTAGAGTTCGATGAACTTTGATTATGAGTGGAAGATAATTTAAAAAATAAAACAAATAAAAAAACCAAGATATTGTAAAGTCACGTTCAACGTTTGCATTTTGAGAGACATTTTGCTTGTTATCATTGAAAAAATTCATCAATATTTTTTAATAACATTTACTACCGTATATACACACGTGCATATATATATATATATATATATATACAGTGATAAAACATCGAATCATCATCTTCACACTTCAATGAACACTACTACATTCGTGTAATCAATCAAAAGAAAAAGAAAAAGAAAAGATTTCAAGATACTCGATCTTGTTGTTGACAACAACAAGATCGATCGATCAGACTTAATCGATAGATAATATCGATGTTAACGGGATGACGCAAAATTTTCTTACAATGAGTATATCTAAGTAGTAATGATAACGAGAAAGGTGACTTTCTTTTTTTGTCCCCAAGGACTCGCACAAAAATAATAATAATAATAATAATTTAAAAAAGAAACAATAAATATAAAAGTATGAGTCTTCGTGATTAGAGATAATTGAGATGATAATAATAATGCTGATAATTAAATTGAAAAACAATAAAATACAAATATATATATATATAGTTAATATTAACTGTAATAATATTAACTATAATAATTAACTATATAAATAATAATATTAACTATATATACAGTTAGTATTATAAGTATAATTATTATAAGTAGTATATATATATATATAATTAAATATTAAAAATAGTAATAATATATATAGTTAGTATATAATATAGTTAATATTATTTTCTAACTGTATTAACTGTATTAACTGTATTAACTACAACTATATTAACTATAAGTGTATTAACTGTATTAACTATAACTGTACTAACTGCAACTGTATTAACTGTATTAACTGCAACTGTATTAACTGTATTAACTGCAACTGTATTAATTGTATTAACTGTATTAACTATGACTGTATTAATATTAACTGTATTAACTATATATATATATATATATATATGTATATCTTTTTTCATAATTTTTTTGTTTTTTTTTGTTGTGATTTTTCGTCAAATTCAACATTGATCGATCGTCTTAACGAAACGGAGCATCACCAAAGCGTTAGTCAAACAAAATGACAAATTGAACATCTGCCCCCTCCACCCCACCTCACCCCACCTCACCCCTTTCCTTTTCCTCCAATCGGTCGTCTAGTTCAAAGATAAAGTCGAACGGTAGGAAGGTACAAAGCGATATTCCAGGAAGTTGGCAGGAGCTTTGAAGAAGAAACTTAGAGCTCGGGACGTATACATAAAGAGAGAGATAGAGAAAGAGAGAGAGAGAGAGAGAGAGAGAGATCGATGCCGAGAGGAAGGAAACGACGACGAGTAAAATACCGATTTAGAAGATACCTTTGCTTTCGAAGATGTTTGCCGACTACCCCTACCCCACCTCCACAACCCCCCAGTGAACCATCCTAGAACTCGATTTTGCCATGGGTCAAATTTATATGTAACTAAGAGAAAAAAGTTTTGACATGCTGTAAACAATCCAACTCTTTCTTTCTCTCTCTCTCTCTCTCTCTTGCTCTGTTTCTCTCTCTCTCTCTTTCTCTTTTTCTATGTATTATACATGTATCGGTAAGAAAAAAAATAAAATAAAAAGACAAAAATATCGAAAATATCAAACAACATATAACATGAAAAATGTTATTCCTTTGGAAAAAGATACACTTGTCTTTACTTATCGAATGATTTTTGTTTTAAAATAAAATATATATATATATATATATAATTATAATTAATAATTAATAATTATATTATATATTTTAATATTATATATAATATTATATATAATATTAAATTATTATATATTTCACAATGTTGTGTTATATTATATTATATTATATATTTTAATATTATATTATATTATATGTTTATTATTATATTATTATATAAAATAATAACAAATCTTTTTGTTATTATATACATTATTATTATTATTATTACAATAAAATTTTAAGATTAAATATTATTTTAATCTTATCACTATTAACGATTAAATGATATATAAAATCATCCTTTTCGGAGAATCCACGAGTATTCGCGATACTGATAATCTTAAGGGATGGGAGAGGAATGAGGGGGAAGCATAAAAGAAAGATTTTGTTTAATATAAGAATACAATATTTTCTACACATTCATAATATTATTATCAAACTTTTATATAATTACTCTGGTTGATGATCTATTTACCATTTCAAAATTGTACACATTTGCAATTCGTATTTATTTAAAACAAAAAAAAATATATATATAAAAATAATAAAAAAAAAAAATAAAAATAAAAATTATTACGATTAATTATAATTATAAATTTCTCATTCTTAATAATATTATATATATATTAATGTTATTATCATCAATCGAGTTAAATAATAAATTAGATTAATAAGTAGAGAAATTAAAAGATACATCGCACTAATATGATAGAATATGATTCAGTATAATGATATAGAAGTAAATAGGTATATGTATATATATGTATGTATTTCATATATATATATATATATTTCCACTTATTGATCTCTCACGTAGCTTGTTAGTAATGCGTAATTCGAAAACGTCAATGTGCAGCAATTCAATACAATGAATCGTGAATACTCATTAGCGAATATTATCCTCATTATCAGGCATTAGGCCTACTATTCAAGCTACGATAGTGCTTATGGCTTTACGCGTACGATTGAAAAATATCAAAAAATTAGATTAACGTATAATGCTATTTATCGATTGGGTAGAATCTCGTTTCATTCACACGATATGATAAATCGATTTTAATTTTGAACAAAATATTATTTATTTATTTATATATAAGTCGTTCATCAGTGCACACATCGATGATTATATTTTATTCACTTTGTGAAAAATCTTTAATTTAAGTGTCAAAACACTTGGTATTGTCGTCATAACTTTTTATATTTATAATAACTTTCCTGAACAATTAAGATTAACATCATTTAAATGACAATATTTGTTGGCCCATTGAAAGAAATTTAAAAGAACAATATACCATAAATCATTTCAATCGCATTTCTCAATTTTTTGTTTCATGAAGTTAATCGATGTGGTGCACTGAACGGCTCATAACTCTCATCAACAACGATTAAAATAATTCGTATGATGAATAATAATCAAAGATATTTACGTGATTAAATGTTAAACGTTAATTTGAAGAGAACAAAAATCTTATCACAATATTCATCACATCTCGTTCATATATATTTGATCATAAATCTTGTCTTAATTCCAAATTAATCCAAAATCCACCTTTGATCCTTAAATTGAACGACTTGTTATCAAATTCAACAGGATCAACGGTTTTACTTGTACGTTTGATGATAAATTTTTGAAGAATATTAATTATGACTACTTTAGTTTCCATTAATGCAAAACGTTCGCCAATACATTTTCTAGGACCTAAACCAAATGGGAAAAATGTATAAGGATTGATATTGTGTTTGTTCTCATCGTTAAATCTTTCCGGATCAAATTTGTCTGGATTAAGAAAATATTTGGGATCGTGATGAAAACCATAACATGGTATCCAAAGTGTTGTCTCAGGTTCGATGACGATTTCTTTGCCATCTGGTAATGAAGGTGGAATGACCGTACGTTTGGCACATAGTCTATCCATAAAAACAGCTGGTGGATATTTTCTTAATGTTTCGTTTATAATCATATCCATATACGTCAATTTAGAAAGATCCTCGTAATTAAATTCACCGTTGGTACGTAACAATGCTTCGTCAATTTCCTCGCGTAATCTTTTTTGAATATCTTGATGTAACGATAATTCATAAACCATAAAACACATCAATGTCGAGGATGTATCGAAACCGGCCAAAAAGAATATAAAAGCTTGTGCTACGATATCTTGTATATCCAAATTGCTTGATTCCTTGTCTCTGGCTTGCATCAACAGATGAATCATGTCTGGTCTTATGATACCTTGTTCGTCTCGTGCCTTAACAGTCTCCCGTATGATATCATTGAAAAATTGTGATGTCGATTGAGTTAAGAAACCAATTCTCAATAATTTCATTAATCCAGGACATATGCGTAACAAGGTAAACTTGATTATATTCCATAGACCATCAAATTTCGTAGCTTCAACGCCTTTATGAAAAAATATATTGTTCCTGTCTTTCATAGAATTAACCGAAATACCAAATGCTACAGTGGCTATCACGTCATTGGTATATCTCGTAAAAGCATCCTTCATCTCAACTTCCTTAGCAGCTTCCGGATGTTCCACGAAATAATTAACGAATTCGTTTGAACACTTTGACACGAGCTCTAACATAAATCTCATTTTGCTAGCAGTAAAGGATGGACTTAAAGTGTTTCTCATTTCCTTCCAACGTTCGCCACGCAAAGAGAATACATTTTTACCAAAAACCGGATCAATCGTTTCGTCAACGAATGCACGATGATCGGGAAAATGATCAAATTGTTTCACCGTAATATCCTTCAATAATTCTGGATCTTTTATTATTAAAATTGGTAATGCAAAATCCATACTACCAATGTATTTCGCTTCTGGCACTTCTCTATACATTATTTTACAAAAGTCAACGAATGATGTTTTACCAAAAAATATTTTCCAATTGATTCCGAAAAAAGGATAATTTAATGCAGTTGGTACACCTTGCTTCTTCCAATATGTATATTGATAATAAAATAATGATATCACTTTGATCACGATTATCGTGATCAGAGTTGTTAAAAGTATTGTAAAACTGGATGATGGTAAAAAAGACAACTCCATCGTGACGAACGTCGAATAAACTACTGAACAGTTTCAACGATAAGCAGCAGAATATGAAGATAGGCTTCATAAAGGATTTTTATCTTTGTCTCTTGATCGAATGAAGAGTCAAAGAGTAGGGGAATGAGAATATAAACGAGAAATAGTCAGAGAGAGAGAGAGAGAGAGAGAATGAAATCAAGAGGAAGAGAAAAATATATATATATATATATATGTTATATATCTGACGTAACTGACTAAACAATCATTACGTCATACAATTTATCTTTAATAATAGTAGTCCCGTCGTATCACCGTATATATTTCTTGCATCGCAATTTACGATACATGTATCTATGTAAATACTAGTTCAAAGTACAAATCTCTCTTCAATATGATTAAATTCTAATAATAGAAATATTGTATGAAAACAAAAAGACATGTTAAACAATTCATTGCAATAATTTTAGATAATCAATTATTTTTTCAGATTAAAAAAAGAAAAAAACAGAAAAGAAAATAAAACAAGATTAGAAAAAGAGAGAGTAAACAAGAATTAAAGAGCTACATTTTTCTTTGGAAATTATTTGTTTATTTTTTTTTTTTTTTGTATGTATTTAAAGTCTCTCTTTTTTTAATCTAATCATAAAAAAAAAAATATAAAAAAATGATGATATACCTTAGAGAATATATATTTTAATAACAATTATAACTCACCGATAAAAATGAAGATCTGATGATGAGAATAACGCAGCAACATCGATATCGAGACAGTCTGAAACAAATGGAAAATATTTTATTTTGTAAAAATATCAATTATAATAAATCAATCAAGATTATATTAACAACAACAACAACAACAACAAAAAATAATAAAAGTATCAAAATACGATAAAAATTATTATCCATAAAATAACACAAGAATAAGTAAACGTATTTTACATGATATGTAAATTTCATAATATTACATGACTTTTGTTTATCTTCCCATTTTAAAAAAATTAATAAACAATAAAATATAAAGTGTTCCCTTTAACCCTTTGAATGGTGGAATACTTTGAACTAAAATGGTTTTGTAGAAACAGAATATCATTTATTAATAATAAATTATATTTAATTAGTAAAGTTGTTCTTTTTGAATATAATTTAATTAATTAATATAAGCATATAACATTATTTTATATTAATATTAACAAACACGTATATGCATTCATACCACTTAAAAAATTAATAATAAAATCTATTGTATGAAATATTGAATATAAATATATATATATAAAAAACATATGCAAGAAATTTGTCCTAAATAATTCTCCTATCTAAATATATATAAATTACGTGTCACGTTGTTTGTCCGTAATGGACTCCTAAACTACTGAACCGATTTTAATCAAATTTTGCACCCTATGTGCAATTTTATCCAACTTGAAAGATAGGATAGTTTAGATCTCAATTTATAATCGCAATTGACTTAAAGACGTGTGTACTGGACTGATTGTAAGCCACAGCAACGCGTAGCGGGGCACTCCTAGTAATATTGATAATCATAATGGTGTTATACAAAAAAAGAAAATAAAGAAACCCTCCAAAAATTGTTTTCTTTTTTCTATGCTCGATAGAAAAAATCCCCATTCGGTATTCGTTCGTAGTAACACGCGAGATTCCTTTTGAACGCTTAATTCTTCCTCGTATATACTCGAGTTTAGCTCAAACTCGAAGTTGTTTTCATTATGTAGGATACTATCTAGCGTTAGGATAGAGAAACGAAGTTACAAAGAGAAAGAGAGAGAGAGAGAGAGAGAGAGAGAAAACGCGTTAACCTTTACCGTTCTCTCTATCCCATATAACAGAGTCTGTATCTACGAGGTAGGAAGTAGGAGGGTATGGGAAGAGGAGGATTTGCTTCCGTTAATATTTCGTAGAGTGAGACGCACACAGTAGTTTCAACAGTAACAGCAGAGCCATTGAATCTGCCTCTGAGGAAAAGGTTTAGCATCGAGTAAATTGGAAAGCGGGACGGTCTCACTCGGTTACCGGGTTGAACGAATGATGCAATTGTATTTCGACCCGTAGAAATTGAAGTACCACCTGACACCCTACCGAAGATAATCTACTACTATCGAGTGAGATGCCCAATAACTGTAAACCGGGACGACGCATTCATCCCTTTTTTTTTTTTCGAGAAATTCTGCTTGGAAAATCGTTATCGATTTCTTCTTGTTTCATACCCCCCTATCCTCATTTCCTTTCTATTCCTCT